TGGGAAAATGATTCAAGTGAGATTTCAAATTGAATTATGAAAATTCCTTTATCAATTCTGTTTTAATCGCTTCTTACGTTTTGCTCAATGGAGGTTTATTGATAAGACATTCTTTTTCCTTCAAATCGTTAATCAGATTTTTATTGTTTTATTATTTTTTTGCCGGGCTGGTTACAAATTTCAATCTTACTGTAGTTGACAATGTATTTAAACTTAATTAAGAACGAAACTTATGTCAATGGGTAAAAGATATGCTCTTTCAGCTTACTGTCCACTTTTCTGGCCTAAAGAAAACTCTAAAATATCCATATTTATTTATATTTACACTCATAAAAAAATTAATTCTTTGCATTTTGTTAAAGCTTCACCTCTTATGTCTGATTCACAGCATAACCTGTTCAATTAAGCGATAAGACGCATGACCCCGATTTGCATATTTAATGGGTAATTGTAATATGAAAATACTTTTTTCTGAATACAGTCATTTAGGGTATTCCGAATCACCTTTTACGTTTTTACTGCAAACGATTTTATTAACAAGTTAATAAATGGTTGTTTGGTATTAAAGGAAAGCCAATTTTATGAAAAATCAGATCTACATTACACGGTGAGTCTATCTTCGATACAGCGTGATTTTTTTTCAATGCAAAACGATTAACATTTGCATTGAACGTGTAATACTGTCATAATTTTACGAGTATGCTACGCAAAAAATGATATAATTATGATGAAAAATTTATGAAAAGGAATTAAACCACTTCATGTTTAGATATATTGATTATCAAGTATGACATATATCACTGCATAACTTGCACGTGCTCATACATACATACATACATACATACATACATATATGTCTGTTTGTGTGTGTGTGTGTACACATGCATGCGTCCGTATTTGTATGATGAAAGGATCAACAGTGATCAACACTGATCAAGTGTATACCGGGACCCGGGAAAGTCTAATTAGCTCTTGCTTTATCAAATCATTACATTCATACCCCTTGCATTTAAGAAAAACAATGTTATAAAAATACCTGACATATGACAAGTGTGTATTGTGTGCAATTAATTCGGCTGCGGTCATGTACACACGTAGTTCGAAATACCCCAAACTGTAGGGGGCTACAAATGCAGTCATAACTAGTATATTTCTGAGATGTAATGCTCACAGAAGCTTATAAAATTGCCGTTCTATCAATACCTAATATGCCATGTTTCATCCACCAACAACGCCACGACATCGATGAGAAATATCATGCATCGTTTCTACACTGGCATTTTCTTCGAAAATGATAGCAAGTTAATGGATTAAAATATTAATTTTTTAATTAACGCATTATGTTTACCTCTTTATTTTTTGTATGCAATAAGTATAGACCTTACTGATAATGACTGTTGGGTTGTCACACGTGTGCATGTGTCGTGCGAGGTAAAGCGATAAGGTAAATTACCGAGAGTGGTAGTATGGGGGTGATTCGGAATACCCTAAATGACTGTATGTTGAAGATTACGACGAATTGAACTGCAGAAAATATTGGGTTTAATGTTCGTTGTTTTGGTGTTTTCAAATACGCTATCAAATCCCCTCGAAGTATAATCTTTCCCTTAAACCACGAAAAATCGAACCCACGAAAATAAGTTACTTGACAGTATATGCACGATTTACGAAGATCATTATTCAAATAGACACCTGAGCATTCGACGTAAGCGGTTTTTTTTTTTGGGGCCTTGCCTTGACCACTGTGATTTTTTTTTGCCTTGCCTTGACCACTGTGACATCACTGTCACCTGAATTGAGGATTCAAGTCAGCTGTTTTGATCGCCTGTAATCTATCTGCTTGTCTGTCCGTCCTTCTATTAACTTTCACATTTTCGACTTCTTCTCAAGAATCAACAGAAAAAATTCATACAAATTTACCACAAACCATCCTTAACTAAAGAGGATTTTAGTTTCTTAAAAAAAAAAAACGCAACTTCCTCTTGAAAGAGATTTTTTTTTTTTAAATCGTAACATAAATTGTCTCAAAAGATATTTTCATCAAGAACAATATTGCCTTAAAACATGGAGGTTATGTGAAAGCCTTCTGACATAGTAAATATTCAAATTTGTTCAAATCATGAGCCCCACATGTTGCGTTGGTCCACAATGGTCCACAAAAGTGTCTTTTGAAATCTTCATCTCAAAAACACCTGAACCACTATTAGTCGTGTAAGTATACAAAATCCCTAATGTACATTCAAATTTATTCATTTTTTTGGCCCCAGGGGTAGGACTGGGCCACTATAGGAGATCAAAGTTTTATATGAAAGAAATCTTAAAGAATCTTCTTTTCAAGTACATGGGGGTCAAGATTATTCATTTATATGCAATTATCAATCCTCAGATTGTACAGATTCTAAATTGTTTAATTCAAATCAACATACATGATACCCTATTTTAGTCCACGCTTCAGGGGCCTGAGGTTTTGGTTGCAATAAGAGATCATTTCTCTGAGATCGGAATCTCGAACAGTATAACAGAGATAACGAACAGTTTACAAGCTCAAAAGTCCATTTAACAATACAAAGTTTGGAGCAGAGCAAACACGGACCTCTAAAACATCAGAGGTTGGATCAGGTACCATGGAGGAGTGAGCATCCCCTGCCGACCGGTCACACCAGCCGTGTGCTCCTTGTCATGATCAGGTAATAATGGAAAAAATCTGTCGACAATTCAGTGTGTAAATAATGGCCTAACAATTAGTATGAAAAACTGAAGTCAGCATTTGACTAAATGATAAATTGTATTTGCTGACAAGGTCATTGTATCGACCATAGAACTTAAGAAATGACGACTTTAAATGAGACTGCTGATATTCCAGTTTCATCAACTTGTTTGTCAATAATTTACCTCGTTTTAGAAATTGTTCATATAGAGCATGCTCTTGCGTTTCGAATCAACTGAGAGATTTAAACCCCATATGCAGGTGATGAAGGTATATTGCTGCATAAGTAAGGGAAGTTGACGATTGAAAAGTTAAAGTCATCACGTTTATCATAAATCTTGGTTGTTAGATTACCACTGACGTCTTTTTCAAGTAAAATATCCAAATATGAAACAGATGTGTCAGACTCTGTGGTATCTTTTATTTCAAGCTCACTGGGATATATCGTATCGGCATACGAATGGAAATAACCATGTTAATTGACAGTACGTCGTCGATATATCTAAATGTCGAGTTGAAGGTCACAGCAAGTGTTTTCTTCTTATCACGTACAAGATTTGAACAAATTCTGCTTCATATGAATACAAAAATAGGTCTGCTAATAACGGGGCGCAATTGGTACCTATGAAAATTCAAATAGATTGTTGGAAGACCTGGTCTCCAAACACCACATAGATATTGTCAATCAGAAACTCAAGCATTTTTTTTAATATCAACTTTAGAGTACCTGTGTGTACAATCAGAATGTTATTTAACAAAATAATGTTGCAAATGACCAATGACAAAATACGAGTTCCATCTTTATTGAAAAAGCAGCGGTCAATGGTATAAAAAATCCTGGACTTTAATTTATCGTGGGGAATGGTTGTATATAAAGTTGAAAAGTCATAAGTTTTTATGTTGTTGATTTTGTAAAAAAAAATTGTGATTTCAAATTTTCCAAAAGTTTCTTGGAATTTTTAAGTAACCAGAGAGTAATGAAAATGGGACAGATATAAATCAACCATCGCAACCACACTAGATCAAATACTGGATCATATAAATGTAAATTAAAACATTTACAGTTTAAACATGAATTGTGAAGTACAAACATCACACCAATCTATGCTAGTGTATTTGGTGGAGATTTTGAAGTGAGTTTTTGCCGCTTCAACTGTTAAAACGGTCACGTTTTCCAATTTAATCCATGTAACTGTTTTAAGACATTAAAAAAATTAGGTTTTAGGTTTAAGTTGTAGGCAATACCTTTTTTAAGGTGTTAAGAAGACATTTTTGCTTTTTTCTTGGGCATTATGATGTTTTCTGAGGCATTTTAATAAACCTTAAACATTTAAGTGATTTGCAAGATCCCTCTTCTTAGTAGGTTATAGCCTTTTTTGAAATTTCAGTGTCTAGTCAGCGTCAGCTACTGGTGTTCACTGTTAAGTTCTAATGCCAAGCGCGACATTTATAACACTTATTCGGCAAAACTCTATGACACATGCGACAAATCCCCTGTGCACATTCAAGTATAATAAAATCCTTATTTTTACCTTTTATATAGTAAAAATATTAAGATGTACACCAATATGATAAATAAACATTTGCTGAAAATTTCAGCTCAGTTCGTGCATTATTTTTCGGTAAAAACGCGATGTCCATGATTTTACCGGACAACCCTCGTATAATTACCTAAAATTTTAGCGTGAAACATATCAATCATAATTTGATCCGATAGGTTTTACTTGCAAACGAGTCGAGGCCATTTTTGGGATATTAGCCAAACTCATTCATCAAATCCTGTGACGTAAAGCGCGAATACGTCAATTTTCTACCCAAAAACTTAACTCGGTGTTTAATTGAATGATGACTTTGTGTTATTCAGCATAAACTCAAATCTGTGCTATTTATGAACAAAGATTTTTTAGAAAGTTTTTTTTTTTAATTTTATTTTTTAAATGTGTATATGACTCAATATTTACACCTCTTAACGTTCATGGTGGATAACATATGGATATTTTAAATGTTTTTTTTTCCTTAAAATTAAAGGTGAAAGGCTAGAGGGAAATGAGTTATTTTAAAGGTACGGGTAGAACAACCAGTCAATGATTCGATATATCCCAGTGAACTCAAAATAAAAGACACCACAGAATCTGACACACCTGTTTCATATTGATATATTTTACAAGAAAACGGCGATAGATGCGCAAGAGCATATTCTACGTGCAATCAATTTTTTAAAAAGAAGCGGGCTATTGAAAAATAAGTTGATGATACAAAGATATCAAGAATCTTTTTTCATCCTAATTGATAGACCATTCTTTTCGCACCGAGTTGTCTACGAATTTTTCCGTTTACCCAATCATGACGGCGAGTGTGACTGGTCGACAGAGGATACTCATTCCTCCACGGCATCGGATCCCACCTCTGTTTTCAAAGGTCCATGTTGCTATGCTCACATTTTGTATTGTTTGACTGGACTTTGAGAATGATTACTATTTGTTATCTTCACATTTTATCAAAATCCCAGATATGTCACATCCAAGTTGGTTGATTAAAGAGAACCACTCCAAATAATGAATATATACTTGTATTAATTTTTAGTATTGGTTTGATTAAATGACTTTTTGCATACTATAATGAATTTCTGAATAACTTTATTTATATGTAATTTCAGAAATGACAGAGACCACTCAGATTACAATGAAAGAAACCACCGATTTCTCAAGAACATATTCCATTCCATCAGAGAGAACTCAAAATCCCACAGGTTCCAGATTTGTTCATTATCACCTTCACTGATGCTAATGTCTTTTTCAGAAACATCTATATACATATGTACATTGAATCTATAATTTTGATAGTACTTGAATTTGAGACTTTTTTGTTGGAGTGGGAGGGGGTGGTCCTTACTATATTTTATGGCGTTCAGCAATTAACTTTGTTTAAGCTTTTTGCTCCCTTATCTAAAAATCACATTTTTAAAATATATTTTCAGCTCCTCAATAAGCAATTGTGACAACTTGTATCTTATACGGAAAAAAGTGTGCATTCTTTCACGAGAAAAAATAGCAAGAACACAGTGAGGTCATTTTGAAGAATTCTTGTCAAGATTCATATCTTATACGACAAATTATGCGTACTGAGTAAAACCTTCTATGCTAATTGTTAAAGCATATTCAAATCAGAAAAAGCCTATTTGAACTATTTGTTGGATTAATTTGATAAACAAATATTTATTTTAAAATTTTTAGAAATATAGATATGGTTTCTTTCATTAAGGGTAAAGTTTGTAAATAGAGATTCACCTTTGTCCACGGCCAGATAAAGTTTATGCCGTAATCAAACACGTATTGTCTGCCACAATGACAAGTCTTCAATTACACTTGTCTGGTGGCCAGTCCTCAACAATTCAACAATAGTAGATACCAAGTTGTCTTTATTCAGGACAATGAGACATCCATTGCTACCCTCGCCGTGTACTTAAGCAAGGAAACCCTCTAGGAATCTCACTTTTTATGGCTGGTCCCTATATGCATTGAAAAATACTTTACAGTATAAATGCAATATAAATTATTTTTGCCAAGCCTACAATATCAGACTATCCATCTTGTATGACTAAGTTTAATATAATTGTAAGCATCAATATAAGGCCATCCACCCAAAATTATCATTACTTAAACATGTAATGAAAGGGTAATACATTACATAATTTCTTCCAAGAATTTTATTGCATATGACACTGTAACAAAACATTTATCAATCCAGACGGGGGAAGGTATAAAGCTTTGATGCGAGGTTTTATATCCGGAAATGGTAAAACATTCATTTTTCAATTTATATTCAGATCCGAGTTTCTTTGTAATTAAAACTGACATCTACGCAGCCCAACTTCATTCACGAGCAGTTATACTAACTCTTGATGATATTTCTGCTCACTCTCTTGTCTATTCTAACTCTAAGAATGTTTCCTTTAGATAAAGTCTTGCAACATACACATGTACAGAAACTTGATAATATATTTCGGGGCAAGACATATTATTTTTGTTTCGTATAAACCTCCCCTGGGAAACTTATGTTTAAGAACTAAATTCATAAAATGTCATTTGATTTTATTTGTGAACTGGAATATTAACATCTTCTACCTGTATTTGTATATTCAAGTTTTTGGGCAAGATATGTAGCTAGACAGAAATTAGTAAAAATTAGATAAATTGATATGCCTAATCTTTAAATGCTTTTTTAAAAAGATAAACCCTGTCCTTGTCAACATGAAGGGACTTGCATAGATTCTCGCTGTGTTTGCCTCCTTGGATATAAAGGCAGATATTGTGAGGATGGTTAGTATTATCTAACTTAAAGATATCTCTTTTCTGAACTCTCCAAAAAATTGGAAAATTCCGAAAATCATTAAAACTATGATAAATATTCTGTGTTTGAATATTTCACAAAATATTGATAATACAGCCACAAATAAAATGTAAAAGTTATTTTTTTAGGGAAACCTTGAGTAACATTAATTCAATATTTTCTTGATTAACAAAGCCGCCTTCAAAACCTTTTGGAGGTTATTTAGATCTAAACATCGGATTTCAGATTTGAATAATAAATCAATACAAAAATTCAATAGAAAATAAATATGATAAAGAATGCACATTTTCATACCTACAGAATACATAAAAATTCTATCCTATAAGAGTAGCAACTCAGTAATACGCGAAGGAAAGTCAGTGAGGTTCCAATCAGAGATCCTTGCTCCTGCTGGTTCCAGCGTCCAGTGGTTTCGCAATGGAAACTTGATAAGCAATACAGCATCCAGATATATAATGATCTCTTCGAAAACAGTAAATGGTACATCGCTTCATGTCCTAAATATCACAAGTGTTTTGCAGCGGGATGAAGGTAAGTTAAAACTATATCTTAATAAAAAAAGATAATAAATTGGTGCAGTTTTTTTCAAATTAGCTAAATTAATTTTATGTATTGTATAGGATATTGGGTAATTGCAGTTTCAAAAGGTTTGACCACTGAAGCCAGGAATAAAACTATAAGAGGTGAGAATACAGAACAAATCGGTTACAGTAAAGTTCTGCGGAGCTGTGCATTTACTTGACTATATATATATATATATATATATATATATATATATATATATATATATATATATATATATATATATATATATATATATATATATATATATATATATATATATATATATATATATTCGTAATTCGTTATATCCGTATAACGAATTCGAAAAAGATATTTTATTGTAACAAATTCGCAATATGTATGTTTCTTCTTACATTTATTTACCAAACATGCTAATATTGAAGTATTAAAAACAAATCATACCGTGATTAATTGATTGTTGTTTTATGTTCCTTGCGAGAATTTTTCACTTGTACGAGATTTCACCATACCTGTATACTGGTGAAGGATGCCAATTTTAAATAATTTTCTATACTTAACCAACGAAGTCCCTTCACGGTTAATTTAGATCTTAAATCTTGAAATTCGAAGTTTTTAAAAAATGATTAACAAGCAGATATCGAGCAATGTTTATTTGGTATTTATCGTGCAAATCTACATCTGCAATAAGATTCCTGATCACAATATTTGTACATCAGCTTGAGATTGGATGACACCATATCCATTTATAGAGTGGCATGTTATCTTACGAATCGTTGTTTACTTGTGTTTTTCATTCCTGACACTAAAGAATCAAGATATATCCCGAAGGCAAATATTACCTTTCATAAAAGCATTTGCTGATTGGTCGAACGATGTCGATCAACTCCAATTACAACTCGAGAAAAAAAAACCCCCATCTTTTAATAGCACCGTATGCCAAGGGTTTGTGAGGAGAGTAGCGGATCAGAAACCCTTGGCTAGCGAAGATGACCATTTTTAAAATTCTTTGATAAATTTTGTTGATTTCTTTTGCAACATATTCTAATTTTTAAAACAGATTTAGAGCTTAGTTTTGTTTACAGCAGACTTTATTGATTTTTAGTTGTTCCAAGACTTCTGCTGCAGATGACACCACAATACGATTTTTCAATTAAAAGTGGAGAAAGTATAAACCTTCGATGTGATGTCACCAATCCTAAATCTCTGACTAATTTATCGAAAGGAAGTTTAATCTGGAAGAAAAATGGGATGAAAATATCACCAGGTACAATTGAAAATCTCTTTAAATTCAAATATTAATTGCATTTTTATAAAGGACAAGGTAAAGTAAGTGCGGAATTCGGCCCCTTATTTGATGTAGAAATCAAAACACAGTTAAGATTGTGATAATATGCAGTTAGGAACTTTAAATGTTGATTATCTTAAAACCAGCATTAATTTTGATCAAAAGTATACAGGGAGGTCACAGGGGGTGCCAAAGTTGGATATTATACCGAATTTCCTCAATTCTGATGGAATGTAGTCAAATTTGAGATGCTTTTCAATTCAGGAAACATAAAACGCAAGCTTGCCTATGTGAATTTTTATACACAAAAATCATCTGAAATTAGTGCATGAATTAAATGTAAAAATTTGGTAGATAGGCAAGCTTGTGCTGTGTTTTCTGAAACAAAATGTGCTACAAAATTGATGAAAATTTGCATAAAAATGAGAAAATTCCTAAATGTACATATTCTGTGACCTTCCTGTAACTCTTGTGTACCCGATAACTTAGAATCAATACTCATTTTGTAAGAAGGATGACAACAGGTCTTTACTGGTGAACAATTGCTTTGCTCCTAAAGACATCAATATCAGGGGCCAAAAAGGGGTCTTAGTCTATCTTGTCCTTTATCATTAATTGACAATTACAAGACATATAATAAATCTTTCCTTTATCTTCGACATTTTTTTCTGGAGTTTTTCAATGAATGCAAACATAATAGTATGTTACAATGACGGTTACTCATGAATTATTACATATTAAAACATTTAGATTCTGGGTTAAACATAAGAACAACAAACATGTCTACTACTCTAAAGAAGGAATGGGCGGATCTTGTAGATTCCGGCAGTTTTTCCTGCTCCCACTCTAGCTATCCAGATCCAGTGTCTGTTTCTATAAATATTTCTGTTACAAAGCCAGGTATGACAAATATTGTGTCAGGTATATTCCAAAATGATAAGTAAAAGAAGATGGGGAACAAGGGGAGCAAAATGCTTATAGTGCATTATATTATAACAAAATTAAAACAAAATTTTCTTTAATATTTCATCTAACATTAAAGTATACTTTATGTAAAATCTCCACAATTTGCAAAAATCTCACAAAGATTGAAATTATTTGCCTATGAAATAGCATACACACACTTAAGAGTGCAAAAATGACCATTTTCTCTTACTATAGCATAATTTTTTTTCGATATACGTAGGTTTTCGCTCCATTTTTTTTTTAAAGTTTATCTTCAAAGTTTGCGTAAAAATATTTTTTGGTTAGCAAAAACATGGAGCAAAGACCCACTTTACCTTAAAAATACACTTTTATGACACAACGTTAACATTCGCATCTTTCCCAGAATACATGAAGTCCATTTAGTCAAATGTCATATCACAAACATGATTTAGATGCCACTATTGGACTTTTGCGAGAGGCACTGACTTTTAAAGTCGACTTCTTGCTTTAAAGGGCCTGGGATATAGATTTGAACCTTATATTTTCTAAAATTTTCTAAACAATATCATGACTTACATGTTGCTAGAGTATTTCACACTGAAATATATTTAAAACGTGTTAAAAAATTCTTTTATATGGAAATTATCAAACCTACGATTTTTGGGACGTGTTTGATTGACACATATCCTTGCACTTTCACAAAGTAAACTTTATCCATATTACTTAAGAAAAGTAGAAATTTTGTTGTGTATTAATGAAAAATATGAAAACTATAATCCAGAAAGTTCAGAGTAGAAATGTGAGAAAGCAAAACTAACTCATCAGTATTGTCAGTCCATGCTCAGTGATGTGTGCAGACTAAACACATTGAACACACCCGGTAAAACGTAAACACCAACAATAACAGATATCTTGCCCTGCTTACAAACACAGGTGTTCGACATGATGTTATGAAAAATGTCGTTGTCATTGAACTCTTAGAATATTCATGTAAATTCAAATCATTAAACTGAAGATTTTTTAAAAAATAAAATAGACATTTAAAATTCTAAACAATGCAACTGTGTCCAGGCCCCTTAAACATTTAAACTCTTTGTTATGTACGGAGGTACAGAATTGATAATAGATAAGACAACCTTACTAGTGGTCATTGGTATGGTGTTAGGGGCAGTAACACGATTTACCGGTATGCAATCAATACAAGAGATGATGGGATAATAATTAAATAACTTTAAAATATGTTATTCGTAAGCGTCGTGTCTCCTTTCAATCCCATTTTCTCAAACAAGGAAGGAAAACCAACATTCCGAAAAGAAAACGTGGCAGGAGTTGATCGAAGTGAGAAGGGAGGGGGTTGAGGATAGGGTGGTTGTCGTTTGCTTCCTAGACACAACGTAATACAGGCTTTGAAGTTTAATTATCGTTTAATCAACTGTTAAAGCTAAATATTTATATCGCAAAAGAGCTTCCGTATATTGTCCTTGTGTAAATGTAAGCTGTCGGTTGTAAAAGTTAGCGCTTCTCACCTAAAGTGTCCATTCATCAAGAGTTGTGTACCGTGGTGGTTATTAGCGTGTTAGTCTCAAAGGAAAAATGATACTCAGGTTTTTTAATGCTAGGGTTCGAACCCCACGAATACCACATGATTTTTATGTATCTGAAGCTATTGGCATTCTACACACCTTGTTCACCCATTTCCAAATTTGATACAAATTGGAATATCTTATATTTACTGTATATGAAACACTTTACCAGTAAAGGGAATATCTATGTTCTTAATTCCATTTTCATTCAATTTTAATAATCAGAACAAATCCGATGTGTAGACGAAAAGTTTGATAATATCATATGGAAATCAACGGTTGCTGGAACAACTAAAAAAGAACCATGTCCAGAAAATCAAAAAGGTACGAACTACCAGTCAACATTTATTATTGTATTCTGAAAAGATCAGCACCCATAACGGGCTAATAGGTCTAAATCAGCCTGTGTGTGTTTTGTTTTAGGAATATGAAACTGAAGTGAAGGAGAGAAATAATGATACAAATATTACCCATAAGTATCGTACTCAAAACAATTCATGTCAAATTAATTATTTAATGACATCATATTTGTACGGCAAACGTCTTAACACATGGACGTACCTTGCACCTTTTCATCAAAATAGATATATTTTTACTGGTCCTTGGCTAAAATGTTTGCTGTGGCTACACCCTTAGGACAAAATAAATGTTCGACCATTTAAACGAATAAATAAGTAAATACATAAAGCATTTTTCTTATTTAGTTTACTTTCAACAGTTGATACAGTGTTTTGTAAGGTGGCAAAACAATTAATTTCAACTGATATGCATGTTTTGGTAGTTGCATCCGTTGTAGAAGTGTATATACATATAGTAAAGGATTATAAATATGCTAATAATAATTATATATGACGCAACTTTTATTTAAATTTTAGCTTGTCCACGAACTTTACGGACAACCCTCGTATGTTAAATCTTCTTGGCTCTTTGGCCACTCAGGAGAAAGTTTCTTGAGTTATAGCGCGTTGATTACAAATCTTACCAAGGCGACGAGAAGGCGAGAGTTGGAAACACAATTTCAACATGTTCAAATTACAAAGAAATGAAAAAGAGCACACATTATTTCAAAAACTTTCATTTTCGATCAACAGCCTTGAAATAGCAAAAAAGGGAGTACAGTGGTGGTAATGGTTGGCGGATATAAGTTTAGTAAGTCAATGGCAATTTTTAATGAAACTGAACTGACGACAAGCAAGCGTTTAATTATTTGATAAAACGTCATTAATGAATTATCGAGTGAAAACTTGATTTACGTTATACAGAAGAAATTGGTTATGATTACTGATTATAAAACAAAACGTGCAAATCGTTTTCGCCAGTATCCGAACTTAGTTTTATACGACTATATCTTCACGGAAATTTGTAGAACATTAGATGGCATCAAACCCGATGTTAAAAGAAAAATGAGGCATTAAAAACACTACATCGATATAAAAGTGTTTTGGATGTGAATGGACATGGAGATAATGGTAAAGCAATTGATTACATTATATACGTTGTGAATATATTTATGTATCGAAAGACTGTTAGTAAGTTGGCCTAACAAATTTACCAGTAAAACAGTAAAATGTGTATATTCGCCACTGAGAGCATCGTGGTAACGAACCCGAAGTACAAACTGTATATATATTAATAATAAACTTGCAAAAAAGAAATGTCAATTAATGAACATGATGAATACGGTTTTATGGATGAATAAGCTTTTAAAACTTATGCTTTAGATCAATTTTTTGCATACAGTCTTTTGTATTAAATATTGGAACTATACATAATTTAAGATGTGAAAAGCAAAGAAGAAAGTACGTTACGGACCAAAATCGGCCCTGTCCCCAAATCTGATGAAGATATTTTTGAAACATGCCTAAGATGTCATCTTTTTAATTCAGCTTAATTTTTGTAATTATCTCACCTCAATTTTCCTACAACGCTATCTGAATACAGATAGTTTCTTTGGAAAATATCACTATGACTTTATGACGTCAACCTAGCGACACTACGCAAATACGAGGGTTGTTGGAAATTCGTTATATTACTTTCAAGAAATATTAAAAAAGAACACATTTTCTTATATAAAATAATTATTTTGTTGATATGTGAAGTTTCATTCCATCCGATTTAACAGAAATCAATTTACTTAATTTTTAAAATCAACATGTTTGGTATCCCTGGAGCTACATTATAACGTCAAAAAACATTGCGTCATGGTGTTTTCAAAAAAAAAAAAAAAAAAAAACTGCCTTTACATTTCACACAGTTTGGTCCAATAGCCACTTATTAAAAACGTTTCTCCATCAATTTTATTTAATATTGCTAACAATCGTACCAGTATTATTTAATTTTGTTTGTCCATGTTTTATTTCTTTTTTATTTTACCGCGTAACTATGCATTTACAAGATCAGCAACTGTGAAGCGCCTTTCTTTTTCCATGACTTTAGCAACTCAAAGTTTCTGTTTAGATTTTTACAGATAATCCATTTTCTCACAGACCGCCCTTGTCTGATACAGAATTTTAATTATTCGAACACAGCCTCTATCATTTATACACATATGCACAAATCGCTTTTGACATTTGCGTCCTACAATATTTCAGAGTTTATTCTGAAGATTTCCAGAGTACAACACAAAATTTTGTTATATATACCTTTAAAAATTGGTTTCTATATAAATCTATACACATTCCTAATGTTGTACTGAGCGGTCATAAAAAAATCGAAGTTTGGCCGCGGAGTAAGATATTTGACCTGTCGATGAGAAGTTGGACCGCTTACGTTAAAATTGTGGGCGGGATCAGCTAAATTTCATTTGCAATCGTTGGTGTTCGACAGTGACGAAATTGACCAATTTTAACCGCAGTGTGATTTAAGTAAATTTACATCAAGGAAGCCTGCACAAGATACAAAGGTATAACAAAACATTTATTGACTAGGTTCTCGGGCAAAATGTGTTTTGTTGACCCATCGAACGGTTAAATAACGGCCCCAGAGTGAGACAAACAGTTTGGTTTTTGGGTCCGACAATATACGTACAAATAAAAGATTAATTTATATGATTTTAAAACGAGAGAGAGAGAGAGGGGGGGGGGGGGTAGAGAGAAATGCGTAACGTATATTTAATAGTACGTTTATTATAAGTATCCGATTATTCTAATTCAAGCAAGAGTTTGATTTTTAAAAGCTAGACTTTTTTTTTAATGCGAATTACTTGGTTTGTTTTTAAGATTGCATTAAAAATTTTAACACTATTTTATAAATGTCAGATTCCCTATAAAAGTTTATGAGAAAGCATCAAAGATATTTTCGAAAAGTATTTGAAATTTTAATTAATAGATAACATTGAAAGGGCAAATTTCCCAGCCCATTCTCGCGACGTCATTCACGAATATATTTAAACAAAATGTGTTTTAAACGTTTCTGTCTTGTCATCTGAAAAAGTTTCCAAAAAAAAAAAAAGAAAAGAAACTGAAAAGTACTGTCATTCGATTAATAATTTTATATGTCACCAGATGGTCCTTCTCAAATGCACGAATCAAGTACCCCCCCCCCTCCCCCAAACAAGCTGTAGCACTTCTCTTGGATAGTTGGCATGGGTAACCTTATATCGAATTTTCTTTAGCAACTTACTGAGACTTTTTTCACCAACTTAGTATAGCTTCTCAAAAAAAAAAAAAAAAAAAAAAAAAAAAAAAAAATAATAATAATGAATAAAAAAAAATAACTAAATAAATAAATGAAATAAAAATAAACATGTATAAACATTTACTTTTTTTGAAGAACGCTTTTACGATCTTTTTTTTTTAATACGTAAATATAATTATAAATAACTACTGTTGCTTGAAGTTTCGACTTTGTTGCTTGAAGTTTCGCTCAATATGAGAGCCTATCTTTAAGTAAGTATTGTGAGCCTTTGATACCAAACCTATGGAGAGAAAGCGCCTGCTTTTCAATCCATTTCAGGTAAAGCTCTCGCGCCGTGATCGGAAGGTCGTGTGTTCAAATCACGGCCGCGACCGACCTAAGCCGATAAAAAATCGGTAGCAACTGTTCCTTCGTCAAGCGCTCGGCACTTTGAAGTGAAAGTTGCGGGTCTTTCGGATGAGACCTTAAAAACCTAGGCCCCGTGTCACTGTAGGTTCAAACTTTTTTTCATTTTTTTTTCACAACCAATTTTCCCCCAATACACTAAATTCCTAAACTTTACCTATGTTACAGCAAATAGAGGGGGGCGGGGGTCAGTCTTTCAATGAACATTTTCAAAGTTCGGAAAAAAAGTGGGAAGGGGCCCTGCGTCCCTGATTCTTCGTGCCTGATAAATAACTTGTTTTCAGATTTGTCCACACTGACAGATAATTTTGTTCCACAGTACTTAGATTAGATTGTGTGATACACTTACACTGCCGTAATGGGTGAAAGAATTTTCTGGACAGGTAACATTGTGAAAAGTGAACCCATCATCCGATACAGCTTTTTATTTATTTATTTTTTTTGTCCGAAATTCCTTTTTGGACCTTTCTGTCGCTTTCTCATTCCAGTCTTCTTTTAACTTCACTGGATCTTCGACAGATAAGAAATTACATCTCAGGCCTATGTGGATTGATCTTAAGTAGAATATACGGGTAAAAAATAAAGAGCCATAACTGCCTCTCCGACGACACGGCTGACTCAAGAATTTAAAAGGAAATCACCTGATTTATAGATATACCTATTCAATTCAAGATCAAACTATGTATATGTTTTGAGGACGAGCGTTATATTTTCGTAGTTGCAAGTATGTCAAATGACAATCATTTAATTTGTTCAATACTCAAATTCTGTCATATCCAAATAAAATCATTCAAAAGTTGTTTTTTTCTGGTTATGGGTAGTCTTTGGCAACTGAGTTTGTCATCTTTAGGTGGATACCTCAATATTTACTATATACTCCATACAAACTGGATAATTTTCATATTTATCATATGAGGAAACTATTAATATTGAAATATCATTATTGTGTGGTATGGATTTACGCATGTATAAACTAAGATTGTATGACAAAATTTTGGTTAAACAATGAATTTAAGAAATCACTAGTAGAGTAGGCGAAAATGCCTATCAAATGCGCTGTGGCTCTTTTACTAGGTGAAATATGAGCCTTTGTTTTTATATGGCTTTGCATAATATTAACGGCAATGTCTACAATATGCAGATGCAACACGCTTATATTGTGCGTGTATTATAAAATCTAACAATATATTAAACATCAACCGTGCACTTGTATAAATGACTGAAAATACAAGACTTCAGAATATTAATTAATCTGATCAGCCCTGACCAACAGCATCCAAAAG